CCTACGCCCAGTGTCTATAGGTAAAGGGTTTTGTCTAAAACGACAGAGCCAAGGAAGAAGAAGGATAACGTGGCGCTCCATGACTCGCCCATTCAAATTCTGCATGTTGTTTGAGTTTAACCACTTGTTTTATCATATAACGTTTGCTTGTTGTTATTTGTACAAATAACGTGGCCAGCTCAGATGGTAAGCATGCAGCATGATAGTGCTCAAGGGCCTGGGTTCGATCCCCAGGTCCCAACATTGTTTCATATTATTTTGCTTTACATAATCAGGCGTGTAGGTACCCCAACGAGTCCACCATACATCCTTAGTATCCAACCATTCCATCCATCCACACTCCAGATCCAAGGCCTATCATTGAGAGTCCACCATAAGCATGAGTCAAGCGCCTGCATGGGATTGGAAAAGTCAAATGGGCCATCAGCATTTGGGCCCAGAAAGTTGCAAACAACACCCCTCCCTTTTGCTATTTACCTCAGGCTCATTCCTATTCTTTTTCTATTTCCTTTTATCTATTTAATTTGTTTAAAATATTTTCTAACACAAATAATTTCTTTTTTCACAAAAAATCATAAAATCAAATTTCACAAATTTAGAATTAGGTTTTTTTTATTTTATTTTATCAAATTAAATTTAATGTTAGTTTAATATTTTAGGTTAATTCTAACTTTTTTTTATATATATTTAAAATCAATTAGAAAATTAGGGTTAGCTTGACTTAATTTTTATTTCTTTTCATAAAAATAAAAAAATACAAAATAAGTTAATTTAATTATTTTTCTTAATTTAAATTAATTAGTAATTAGGTTTTTTTATTTATTCAATTGAACTTTATTTTCTCAAAATAATCAAAAACAACCAAAAAATGATTTTTCCTTTTAAATTGCAATTAGGTATAGTAGGGTCAAAACCCTAAATCTCTCGTTTTCTATTCATCGCGCGCGTTTATTATTATTTTTCGCAATATTAATGTAACTGCTCACGGTATGTAATAGTTTAATTAGGATTTTCTTTTATTTATCGTTTTTACGGGTTTTTTGGCTATGTAATTAATCCCTACCCCGAAGCCTTGTAATAGCGTAGGTTTTATTTTCTCTCATTTTAATTCTCGCAAATATTAACTGTTAGATGTATGTTAATAGGATTGTATGACAAGATTGCATGATAATTTAAAATGGCTAGAAAACCCTAATGTGCAAAGGTAATAACTGAAATCAAATCACTCGCACATGCGCACTCCTAGGGTATACTCTCACTTTGGTTGCCTTCGGTAAACGGTCATTAAGTATAGGGTGTCTTAGTGGTTGCCCTCCTGTCTAAACAAAGATCAAAAGTCCCGTTCGGAAACGTTGCCTCGGAAATGTTGCCTCGAAAATGTTGCCTTGAATATGATCTTAAGACATTAGGGTAATTACTAAGACGTTCTAACATTGCTTTATTGATCATACGTCCCTTACGAATTGACCCTTACAACTCCAACGACAGTGCTTCCTATTTCTCAATAGTAGGATAACATTGTCTAAAGGAAACAAGAACAGAAAAAATCTTTTTTCGAGTAGGTAGACACTAGTAGGTACTTTCTCAAAACAAACTTTTTCACACCAAACACCTTTTTCAAACAAAGTTTTCAAAAACACTTCGTAACACTCTTGAAGACAAAAGCAAGGGTTAAAACGAAGTAAAACAAAAACTTTTCAAAACACAAACACACAGGCAATTTTAAAAAGATGAGCAAGTACCTAAGAGCCCGTGGAAAACCACGGATAGAAAGGGTGCTAATACCTTCCCTTTCTATAATCTACCCCCCCGTACTCAAAATCTCGAAAAAGGAATTTTTCTGTGCTTTTTTTCCTTTCCAGTTGGATAAAATAAAAGTCGGTGGCGACTCTTGCTTACCGCGACATTTTGCAAACAAAAAATGCAAACCAGCATTTTCTAAAACAGTCGGTTCTGCCGCCGTATCACAGTCTTGACATTATGTTATGATGTTGGGACATCAGTATTAGCATGTGTTGCAAGTGCCAGAATTTCAATCCTCAAAAACTCGCTTGCTTCATCTAGAGACACTGCTTTTTTAGAGGACCGTTTCTCCTTGTTTGAGTTAGATGCCTCTTTCCCTTTGGAATGTTCAACTGGTGTCTCAACATCCTTTTTCTGTAGCTTCTCAAGAGTGAATACTCGACCACTACGAGTTATTCCTCCAGTCCTTACTATATTTGTGACATTGAGCATTGTTATCACCAGAGATTTATCACCCACATAGGTTGTGACTTTGTAGTTCCAAGGCACCACCTTCGTTCTTTAGAAAGCAAATGGAGATGGAACCCATATTAAAATAAGGGATACCAGATTTAATAATAGTCGGAAATCCTTCCTCGTACAGAGGATCACAAGAGGCCTCAGAACTCCCTCGGTCTGATTAGCATAAGATTCAAGGGTTGAGATGTATGCATCATTTTTTGCACGAGTTATCTGAACCAAACCTTGATCCATCAATTTTGGGAGAATCCCTTTCAATACTTCACATTTGATTGGAGTAGACAAACTGATTTCACAATAAGCATGGACTTCTGGGATCAGACAATGCTCAATCATCTTTCCATGAACCCTAGCCATATAAATCTTCACCTTTTCTACCTTTTTGATCACGTGAAATTTCTCATACCCCTCAATAGCATTGATGGATGGGCCACCATGTCCAGGTAATGGATTGTTTTTCACTTTGTGGCCATCTAGTTTGAAGGTTATAAACTTGCTATAAATCAGCTCTTGCACCTTATACTTGAAGGCTTTGTAGTGCTCTGTAGTATGCCACATTGATCCATCGTGGAACTCACATGTAGTGTTTTGGTCATAACTAGGCCGATACAGAGGTATCATTGGCCTGAGTTTTTTAGGGACTATCATATCCTTTTGGCCCAAAAGAGGTAGAAGCTTAGTATAAGTCATAATAGGTATTGGGTCAAAGCGGGGATTTTATGGTCCAGACTAATTGCAATTTTGATTGTAGTCTTGGCCTTAATCTAATGTTGAAAATGATTCTACTGTTGATGATGATTCTATGGAGTAACTGTTAAAGGTAGTGAGGTAGAGGTGCAACAAATAATGGTTTCTAATATTGAGCTGGTGTCACAGTTGCTACAAGGGGATACTGATAATATGGCATCAATAGATGTTGATAGGTATGTTGAACCCCAAAATTTGTACTCTTGTTTCTAACCCTAATTGGCTTATGTTTCTCACATCATCCATATACATACCCTTCATTAGGTCATCAAACACTGCATGCATTCATCTAACACCAAGGATCAAAGTTCAAAGGCATCAAGGCTTCCCCTGAGATTAGGATTTTCTCATCTTTTGCAGGGTGGTGTCTCGACTCAAGGCTTAAAGTGAAAATGATTTTGGATTAGGGTTTAGGCCCTATACTCAAGGATACCTAATGGATACTGAAGGCTTGAATACATGCATCTCCTAAGGCTCTTATACTCAACATTCTTTGGCTTCACTCAACACAAGTGGTGCTTTTTGTGGCTTACAACACAAGTTACTCTACAAAGTCACCAAAAGAGCCATGAACTAAGGCATGGACTCTATGAGCATCACCTTCTTGTGCCTTTCATCATCTCCCGTTGATCGGGTTTTATTTCCCTAAACACGTGGCTTTCAAGAGATTTTCTTTATGAGGCTTGGTCATTACTGAATTTCAAAAGGGATTCAACTATTGCTTAAGGGTTGCATTTTAACTGAGGTTCCTACAAATTAAGGTTTTGGCTCAAGGAGATCCTTATTATGCAATGCAATGGGGTTAAAAGTCAAGGGTTCCTCTTCAATATCAAGTTGGGGTTTCCATGGACTTTCTTCGTCAAGAAGCTCATCTATTGTGTGGATCTCAGTTTATATGAATCTTCTTCACAAATTAAGTTTTATGCATATTGTGGATATCAATATACGTCATCAAATCACTTGCTTTATTTATGATACAAGCCACATCACGGGACTTCATTCAAATACTTCAAGCATACATTTAGGTTCTTATGGAATTAAGGTTATATGAATCACAATTGATGAGGATTGCAAATATTACTAAATGACTTGAAAACATGTAAAGATGAGGATTCACTCCATTTGTTGAAATTCAAGACATTGCAAGGGTTCACTTAAGTTTCCAATTTTATGGAAGATGCTTTGTATATATGGAGTATATAAACACTAAATCCAAAGAAGATGGGATTTCAAGTTATAATTTGAAAGAGAGGTTACTTTCAACATTTGGACTTTATCATTGAATTTCCAAGATAACATGTTCATTCAAAATATTTACAAAATGGTAAGGGCCAAGGCATTCATTATTCATCCAAGATTGCCATGGGATTATGCAACACAAGATCAAAGGAACTTTGAAGTTCAAAATTAAATTTTGAAAGAAAGAGAACACTTTGATTACTTAAAGTTTGTCATTGAATCTACAAAATATTACAAGGTTCTCAAAAGTCAGGCCATTACACATTACACTTATTACAAATACATAGAAATTATGCATCAGAGAAACTATGGAAAATTAATCATAAACCAAAACAGGAGAAAAATTAGGAGAAAATTAATAGAGAAAATCCTAAACTCAGAATCTAAGGGCTCTGGCTTGTTCAAATTGTAACTAACTCTCTTCCATTTCAACAAGCTACATAACAGAATTTCTCATTCATCTGCAGGAGAAGGATTTTTCATTTGACAAAATCTCAGAAACTATTCATTCTGACGAAGTATACACATATGAGAAGAACCAAAACTCACCAGAAAAAAAAATTGAAAACACTCTCATTCTTCTGCAACGCTCCTTCATCTTCAATCTTCACCATCACCCTTACAATCTCTCAACCTCACCCTCTACACCAATCCCACGCCCCTCACGTTCAACCTCGTCTTCATACAGCTCAATCTTCTCTGCATCATCAATATGCATTAAGACTCTTCCTCAACGCCTCAATTCATCTGCCTCAACAATGCAACATCACGCAATGCTCTGAACAAGAAAAGATCACAAGCATAAAAATCTCACAACAACAACAACAACCATCAAAACTCAAAAAACACAGAAACAGAACCGGAGAGAAGAGAAAATGCAACACATACCTGAATCCATCTTCAGGATTTCTCGCAGGTAACACGCTTCAAAGACAAGATGATTGAAGCTCGAATTTTGAAAGAATCGGAAGAGGAGAGGTAGAAGAATGTTGAGATGAGACTGCGTACGGTGGTGACTAGTGGTGGTCACAGCGGCAAACCAGAGGAAGAAGAAAGAGGTAGAAGCGCAAGACGCCGTTTTCATGCGGGAGAGAAGAATAGTGATGTTTGAGTTCTTGTAGAAACTGAAAGGTCGCATGATTTTGAACCCTAATAAGCTTTTCTAAACGATGTCGTTTCGCCGCCCATTGATTCTCAAGTTTGGTTTATTTTTGTTCTTTCAATGAGAGTATCAAAAAGAAATTTGGAAAATTAGAATATAATGATAGAAATTATGGAAACAAAAATCTGGAAGTGGATTTTGGTTAGGCTAGTGAGTTTTGGCTTCCATTTTCACACCATGTCCTGATCTCTGCACCTCCTTGGCTTTCTCTAATTTTCATTTTATTTTATCATCTTTTTGCAATCAATTTCTTGAGTTTTTCTTGCATGATTTTTAGCTGAAATTTTGTGTGTACATTGATATGTTAGCCCCTGACTAGGATACATTTTTTTTTAATTATTTTTTCTATTAGTTTAGAAATGATTTGAATTAATGATTGAATATGATAAACATTAGGGTTTCTCGATGTTCTTGTAGATTCTATTTATTTTTTATTCAAATTTTGGCATGATGATTGATTTAACAGCAGGTCTTGAACCTTAGGAAATTGATTAAGTGTTTACTTCTGTTTGTGATCATAAAAAATCTTGAAATGGTTGAAATCAAGTCCTAATTTCATTGGATGTTCACGTGATTTGCAAGTTTTGTGATGGATTCTTAATTCAATTTTTGTCCAATAATGGTGCTTAATACATGACACTCGTCACCATGATTGTGTGATATTTTTGTTTGATATTGTTGAATAAAATAGACTTGATTGAAAAGTTTCAAGAGGTTTTGAAGTAAGTTAAGAGCGTAATCTTCATCAAGGAAATTCAAGGAGGCTTTTGGTAGAGTTTTCTTATCGCTTGTGTGGCTTTAAAGAGGAAACGAACCTTCTCTGTTAGGTACCTCTCAAATCTCTTTTATTTCTCTTTCACGCATCAAGCTAGGATTTTATTGATTTCTAGAAGCATATAGCATAGTCGCATCTGAAGTTTTACCTCAAAGTAGGCAATGGTTGGACATCTGAAGACTTACCTCGAAGTAGGCATTGTTTTTTGGGTGCACTTGTGAAATAAATTAGGGGACTTCTCTTAACATGATAGTTGATACTATGACCTGTTTGGTGTATTAATCTCTTGATTATTTGACCTCTTTAGGTTATGCTTTTGTTGTGATAAAATTATGAATAGTTTGTTAACTGTTTTTGACCTAGTCTTGTAACTTGCTTCATGTGCAATCTTTTAATGCTTTGAAATGTTCTTGATGTAACTTCTTTGTTAGGTTGTTTACATGTCTAAATGACTTTTGTTAGGGTGTCTTGGTCAAGTTTAATTCATATGTGAAATGAATCATCGTGTTGGTTTAAATATTGATAGTTGATCAATTTTGACCTAATTTTGGCACCTTGTTTGCTTTGATGTTTCTTAATCTTGTGAGATTTAGTTAAGATGAATAATTTCTAGTATGTTACTACCAAGTAAGGTTGTGTATCTTGTGTAGTTTAAAACTCTATTACATGCTAAGTTTTGTTTACATTGTAATGTTCAAAACCCTGTTTGCTTGTGTACTTGTTGAAATGCTTAGTTAGGTTCCAAAACCTTAGTATTAAAACATTGTGATAATGACCCTTAAGAGTTTTATTAAGTGTGTATAAGTGGTTACTTTAACACATTCTTGTTTCCTTGAGATGTTTAGACAATATCAGGGCTATCTTTGATAAATGGCAATTTGTTTTGTTGATGTGTAGGTCTTCACTTCTAATTTTTTGTTGATGGTTATATGTTTGACAACATGATGCCTTGTGATGTAATCTTTGTGTTTTTCTTTACGCATTAGGTTGCTACCTTGATACTTTTAAATGGTTTTTGCTTTTAGTTAAAGTTTCAATTGTGAATTTATTACTTCTAAATGATACTTGTCATGTCTAATTGCTTATTTGAGTTGATTACTTTGCTTTATAATATGTGATACCTTGGTTAGGGTAAGGTTAAGCCTAATGCATGTTAGGGGCAGCCACTTAGAAATTTTTGAAGTGCCTTCTTAAAAAGGTTTATTGAGTGGTGAATCTTTGCTTACTTGCCTTAATGTCCTTATTTGTTTAAGTGGGATAACTCTTAGGGTTTAGAGATATTTCTTCTTGCATGCTTATATGTTTTCCCTTAGGGATGTGTGTTTATTGATGAATCTCATTCCTTGTACCATGTTGATGATACTTTGATATGATTACTTGAGAAGCTCCAGTGTGTCAATTACTTCATACTTGTTTAAGCACCTCCTCAAAAGTTTTGATGCATGATAGTTCAATACTTGGTTAAGTGTTACCTTTGTGCTATGGTTTGATCACATGAATATTTGATACTTGTTTAAGTACCTTCTTGAATCTATTTGAGACATGCTTGTATAAGACGCAGTTAAGTGTTGATATTGATTTCTTGTTAGCATGAACACTTTGTTAAATGACGTTTTGTCTTAAATCTTGTTAGGTTTAGGATTGCTTGTTAGCATGATCTCTTTGTTAAGATATTTATTTTGTCTTAAATCTTTTAAGGTTTTAGGATTGCTTGTTAGAATGATCTCTTTGTTAAGAGATTTTTTTATCTTAAATCTTGTTAGGTTTTAGGATTACTTATTAGCGTAATCTCTTTGCTAAGAGATTTGTTTTGTCTCAAATCTTGTTAGGTTTAGGATTGCTTGTTAGCACCACTAATTGGTAAAGTAATGTTTGAACCTTAGGTCTATTAAGACTTAGGTTAGCTTGTTAGCACCATTACTTAGTAAAGTAATGTTTGAACCTTAGGTCTAGTAAGACCTAGGTTAGCTTGTTACCACCATTACTTAGTAAAGTAATGTTTGAACCTTAGGTCTAGTAAGACTTAGGTTAGATTGTTAGCACCATTACTTAGTAAAATAATGTTTGAATATTAGGTCTAGTAAGACTTAGGTTAGCTTGTTAGCACCATTACTTGGTAAAGTAATGTTTGAACCTTAGGTCTAGTAAGACTCAAGTTATATTGTTAGAACCATTACTTGGTAAAGTAATGTTTTAACCTTAGGTCTAGTAAGACTTAGGTTATCTTGTTAGCACCATTACTTGGTAAAGTAATGTTTTGTCTTAAATATTTTTAGGTTTAGGATGTCTTGTAAGTATGATTGTGTTGTACCCCAAAATTTGTCCTCCCATATTTCTCAAAAAAAACATTTCAAGAAAAATTCACAAGTCCAACCTGGCGCGTCATATTCAGGTATTCTTTCGCCAAGATATCTCTGATAACGTATTCTCAAATTCAGGTTCGGCTCAAGAGTCAATTCTTTAAAGAAGGTATCAGAATGTGTGAGTTTTCTTGAAGAAATATAGTGAAAAAGTGTGCTGAAAGTACAGTTTTTACGCGCTAAAAAATTCATAACTTAAAGATCGTGACTCGTTTTGAACCCGTTCCAGTGGCCAAAATTCCGTCTTGACATTATCTACGTTTTCATCTCTCACGGCTGGAAGCCAATTTCGATCAGAAGATCTTGAAAAATGTGGATTTATCAAGTATTTTCGTGCAGAAATTTGTGACAGAAGTTTATTTGCGTCATGTTCAAAAAATCATAACTTGGTCGATTTTCATCGTATCGAGCTGGTTCCGGTGCCAAAATTTCACAAATTGAGTTGGCTATATTTTCACAGAAGGTATTGAGTTCAAACGGTATTCAAAAGGCCTTCGTTTTTTGCTCAGAGTGCGTGACACGCTGAAAATCCTGAATACTGAATATTATTTCATCTGGGCCGAAACTTCGAAAATTCATAACTCGGTCAATTTTTATCGGATTGGGCTCATATTTTTACACAAGGTCCCTGACTCGTAGATCTACAACTTTGCTTCAAAAGTCGAGACCGGATTATGCTCCGATCAATACCAGTTTTTTATTGAAGAACGTGTCAGAGTCGACACTGAAGCCCAAAATAAGTTTGTCTGAGCTGAAACTTCAAAAATTCATAACTAATTCACCGTTTATCCGATTGAGTCGATTTTCGGACAGGAGTTAGTTCTCGATGCTGGCTACATTTTGTTTTCACATTTCAACTTCAAAAAATGCACTTAAGTCCCTGCGGTTTAGCCTGGAAAGTGACGAATTCAAGTGAATATTGGAGGCCCAATTGCACATTCAAAGCCCATTTGCTTTACCCTAATTTCCATTATATAATCACCTTCTTTTCACACAAACCAGGGGAAGGAGAAAAAGAGAGAAAAAACTTTGCCACAACACTATTAGAATATCAAACTCTTCAAGAACCCTGAAACATTGAAATCCTTATTACAAATCCCTCTCTCACTACAAACAAGCCATCACAGTTACAAACCAACACCTCACTACTTCTTCAGTAAGGGTAAGGCTGGCTTGATCTCTATGATCCTAATTTTCCAGTAAGGCATAAAAGCATTCAGGCCACTGATTTTCCAGTAAGGATTTAGATAGGATCCCAGGTTCATTAAGGAACGTTGAGGCCAAAAGCCAAATGGCCAAAAGCCAAAAGCCAAATGGCCAAAGTAGAAAAACTTATGCATGACACCAATACATGGCGAGACAGACATCCTGAGAAGATTAAGGAACGTTGAGGCCAAAACGCAAATGGCCAAAAGCCAAAAGCCAAATGGCCAAAGTAGAACAACTTATGCATGATGAGGTCAGAATACAAATGGCCAAACCACTCCAATTCACCTCCAAAAAGGGGACAGAAACCCCCCAAGGTATTGTATTTTCTTTCTTTTCCTTATTTTATTTATTTCAATTCTTTCTTTTTTTAATTAATTCCTTTAATTTAACTTATTTTCATAAAATATAAAAAATAGTAAAAAACAGAAAAGTCATAAAAATCAAAATATATTTATTTAATTAATATTTTTTGTAAATAAATCTCACTAATTAATTAGATTTAAATTTAGGTTTAATTCAAATATTTTTCTTAATAAATTAAAAATTTGTAGAATTAGGGTTTTAATCAATTTTTATCCTTTTTCTTTTCTTTTCACTAATAATTAATTATTTATTTTTATAAATCAAAATTG